GGAGAAACCCCGAGAGTATGGCCCCTGGACACCCTTTTAGCTCAGTGGTGAAGTCACTCCCGAGGTTCATCGTTCAGTCGGGAATTGAACAGCCCCCTAAAACAAGACGGTACTGATGAGGCACGGCAGTCCAGGGACAAGGACTAGAAGGCAGGAGGGGACAGGAAAGCTGGTGATAGGGAACCCAAGGTTGAGAAAGGACAGTGTTGACATGTCATGGGGTTGTTAACCATTGTCATAGGGCAATATGTGTGCTAACTCTTTAATGAGAAACTATTCTGTTCTGTGAATCTTCATATAACATCAAAAAAAAAAAAAAATCTATGAGATCAAATTGACAACAGCAACTCAAAAGGTTTGATGGGAAGCCTAGGGGTCAGTGAGTTGAAAATAATGGTGATGGAATAATTTGGAAAAGGATAGTGACAATACCAGCACAACTGGAAGAATGTGATCGATGTCACTGAATTGTACATGTAGAAATTTTTGAAATGGTGTATCTTTGGCTATGTATATTTTCACCAAAAAAAAAAAAAGGTCCTCCAAGGTCGAGAAGGGAGAGTGTTGACATGTCGTGGGGTTGTTAACCAATGTCATAAAACAATATGTGTACTGACTGCTTAATGAGAAACTATTTGTTCTGTAAACCTTCACCTAAAGTACCATAAAAAAAATTTTTTTAAATAGTAAAACAAAGTTCTTTCCACTACTGTAGGCAGCTGCTGAAGTATTTGATTCAAAGTGGAGAAGAATTTGCAAAAAACAGAGCTTGAGAAAGATTATTCTAGATTCAGAGGCAGACACGAGGATATTTTTGGCCAGAGAGAACTCAGGCCGGTGGCTGGAACTCCCCATGGGCCCGGTTACGAGCTTTTGGTAATAGCGGTCGCCAGGCCGCTCCGGGGAGCTGCAGTCCCAGGGAATAGAGCCCGGGCGTCGCCGGTGGGAGAGAAGGTGTCTCCATCCGCCGGTGTCTCCTGAGGGCGTGGGCTCATTACCGCTGCCTAGGGCCGACTCACTGGGGCGCAGGTGAGCCGGCGCCTGGGTGCTCCCACCACGGGACCGCTGGGCTGGGAGGGGCGGCTCCTGCCCCCGTCCCTGTCCCACCCTGTCCCCGCGGGGCCTGCAGGTCGCGTAGGCGGCGCGCAGGGAGGGGCGCACGGTCAATGCCGTAGGGCCTGGGCACAGACGCAGCATGGGCGGATCCCAACTGGCAGGCGACGGCACAGAATGAGGGAGGAAGTGACCTTAGAGCTGGGCCTGCAGAGGCACGGTTCAGAGGAGACGAGGGAAATGCATGAGAGGTGAGGGCGAAGGCCCAGCTTTGGCAGCGGGCAGGTGGGGAAGGCTCACGTGCAGGGAGAGGCACGCCGCAGGGGCCAGGGCAGGTGCAGGGCAGCACGGGGTGGGCGGCTGGGCTCCAGCTGCCCTGCACCTGTCATGAACTCAGCTGAGGGGCATGAACTCAGCTGAGGTCCCGGCCTGGGATCAAGCGGCCAGGCAAAGGCCAGCCAAAACCAGTTACTGTCCAGCAGATGCCTACTCATGGCGACCCCGTATGTGTCAGAGTAGAACTGCTCTATAGGCGTTTCAGTGGCTCATCTTTTGGAAGTCGATGGCCGGGCCTTTCTCCCGAGGTGCATCTGGGTGGACTCCAATCCGCCAACCTTTTGATGAGCAGCCAAACGCTTAAAGGCCAGCAGAGGGGACCAAATCCCCAAAGGCTAACCTTAAAGAAATGCAAATTAAAATAAGGCTCCCCCCCACCCCCCCTCACCCGCCGATTTTAGAGTCGGAGAAGAGAAGAATCCATGTGGTCAGGGCTAGTGAGCTCCTGGAGGAACAGCCGCCCCCCCACGAGCGGGTGGGCGTTAGTAAGCTTTTCCTGAGGGGCAGTTCGGCAAGAGACGCCCAAATGTCACCCACATGTCGCCTGTCCCTGCCTTTTGACCTGGTGGCTTCACTTTAGGGATTTATTAGAGAGAAACAGGCATTCAAAGACATGTCCACGGCCAATGCAGCTTTATTGATATCTGCAAAGGTGAAAATTGCAGACCCTAATGTCTGTCAGAAAAGGAGCCCTGGTGTCACAGTGGTTAAGCGCTCGGCGACTAACCGAAAGGTCAGCAGTTCTAACCCACCAGCCGCTCCCGAGAGAAAGACCTGGCAATCTGCTTCCATAAAGATTACAGCCTTGGAAACCCTATGGGGGCAGTTCTACCCTGCCCTATAGGGTCGCTATGAGTCTGAATTGACTGTCTTCGGTGGATTTGGTTTGGTTTTGGGGAATGGCGGTCCCAAGCCCCTGAAATGCGTCAGCCCATCAGTCAAATGCCTTACTGTGCAGCGCGGTAAAAAAGAGGGCGTCCAGCTGTGTGCCTGGGCGGAGAGCTGTGCCCACGACACAAGGCAGATGACAGCAGTGTGGTACGCAGCACACAGCCTGTGACTGCACTTACAATAGCGAGCCTGTAGAATATGCACCAACCGTAAGCGGTGGGGGGGGGGGGCGGAAATCAAGAGAGAACTTTCCTTTTCTCTTCTAAACCGTTTTGCAGTAAAGGCCAAACAACACAGAGAGAAAATACAGACAGACAGAGGGGAAGCATGGGGCTTTCATACCCAGAGAGAGCGAGCCAGTGGCTTTTAGGAGAGACAGGCCCTTGTTCCTTGAACTAATGTTATTATTGAGCACCTGGAGATCCTGGTGGCGTAGTGGTTAAGAGTATGGCTGCTAACTAGACGGTCGGCAGTTTGAATCCACCAGGTGCTCCTTGGAAACTCTATGGGGCAGCTCGCTGTGAGTTGAGATGGACTCCACAGCAATGGGTTTGGTTTTTTTTTTTTTTTTTTTTTTGGTTTCGCGATATGCAGGGCTGTCAGTTGGAGCCTGGGGAGCTTTGCGCGCAAAGATGGAAGAGCAGAGGCTCACCCTGGGGGAAGCGCGGAGCCCCCTCCCCCACCCCGTGCATCCCGCACTGCGCAGGGACCTTGCCGCCTCTGCACCGCAAGGCCCTTGGCCTGGACCCCTGGGGGCAGCAGGCCTTTCCCCGGGCTCAGTGACCGGCATAAGGGGCTCCAAGTGTCTCCAGAACTGCCATTTCCTGGCACCCACTATGTTCCAGGCGCGGGAATACTTATTTTACTAAATTTCACAAAAGCCCCTCCAGGAAGGTATTTTTGTCCTAGCTGGGTGAGGAGGGGGATCAGAGAGGGCACCAGGGATTCCAGTCAGCTCTTAGCCCAGCGACCCTCGCAATAGCTGCCACTCCGCGGGATACGGTCGCGATTTGAGTCGGTGGGCTCTGTCTGAGTCAGACCTGGCCCAATGATTGCATCCACCACTTCCTAAATGTGTGATCTTGGCCAGGGTAGTGATCTTTTCTCTGGCCGGGCTGCTCATCTGTAAAAAGGTTGTTATTGTCAGGTGCGGTCCACCCGGTTCTAACTCAGAGCCACCCTATGTACAACAAAACCACAAAGCACTGACCGTCCTGCATCAGCCTCACAACCATTGCTGCGTTTGAGCCCATTATTTCAACCACTGTGTCAACCCATCTTGTTGAGGATCTTCTTCTTTTTCAAAGTAAAGTATTATAATGAAATGTGCAAAGACCTGGAGTTAGAAAACCAAAAGGGAACAACATGTTTGGCATTTCTTCAGCTGCAAGAAAAAATTCAAGCCCCAACTTGCAATACTGAGGGATTCTATGAAACCCTATGGGGCAGTTCTACTCTGTCCTATAGGGTTGCTGTGAGTTGGAATTGACTCCACCACAACTTTCTATTTGTTTGTTTATGGGCAAAATATTGAACATCACAGGAAGCATCAAAAGAAGAGGGAAGGAATACATACAGTCATTGTACCAAAAAGAGTTGGTCGACATTCAACCATTTCAGGAGGTAGCATATGGTCAAGAAACCGATGGTACTGAAGGAAGAAATCCAAGCTGCACTGAAGGCATTGGCAAAACACAAGTCTCCAGGAATTGACGGAATACCAATGGAGACGATTCGACAAACGGATGCAGTGCTGGAAGCACTCATTAGTCTATGCCAAGAAATATGTAAGACAGTTACCTGGCCAACGGACTGGAAGAGATCCATATTTGCACCCATTCCAAAGAAAGGTGATCCAACAGAATGCTGAAATTACCGAAGAATAGCATTAAAATTCCACTCAAGTAAAATTATGCTGAAGATCATTCACAAGCAGTTGCAGCAGTACATCAACAGGGAGCTGCCAGAAATTCAAGCTGGATTCAGAAGGTGGTGTGGAACAGGGATATCATTGCTGATGTCAGATGGCTCTTGGCTGAAAACGGAGAATACCAGAAAGATGTTTCCTGTTTTATTGACTATGACTGTGTGGATCATAAAAAATTATGGGTAACTTTGCGAAGAATGGGAATTCCAGAACACTTAATAGTGCCCTAAAAAGGGGTGGGGGATAAATAGCATCAGCCCACAGGGCAGTGTGCGGATTAAAGAAGGTAATGCGTGTAGTTGGGAACAGGAGTCAAGCACGGGGCTAAGCGCTTTTATGGGTACAGTCCTAATGAGTTGGCCCGTCTTACAGATGAGGAAACTGAGGCTCGCAAGGTGAGACATTTCACCCAAGGTCTCATCGTGGCAGATGCGGAGGTTACGTGCATCCTTAAGAGCCCGTTTCCTACCCAGACACGTGCGCTCTCTGCGCTTGGCCCTCCTAGGCCCTGCCCCTCCAGGAGGCCCCGCCTCCGGCCCTCCAGGCTCCCAAGCCGCCCAGCCCTCCCAGGCCTGGCCCCGCCCACCCGAGGCCCCGCCCCTCCCTGGCCCGCGGTGAGCCCCGGCTTCCCAGCCCTCCCACGCCGCGCACCGACGCGAGGCCCCGCCCCTCCCAAGGCCCCGCCCCTCCCAGGCCTTGCCCGGGCCCCGCCGCCCGCGCCGCGGCCTCGCCCTCAGCCAATCGTGGCGCCGGCGTCTGTGCGCTCGGCCCCCGCACCCGCCCGCCGGCTACTCACTTTGCTGCTGTTGCTGCTGCCGCCGGCTCCGCTGCAGCTGCGTCTTGGCTGTGACTCGGTGAGGCCGGCAGGGACGGCGGGGTGTGTAGAGGCTGCACTGGGGCGGGGCTCCCTTCCCCTGTGGTAGATTGGGTCTGGGGTCTGCCCGGGGTCTCAGCCCCCAGGCCGCTCCCGCAGGGCAGCGGGAGGAAGGTTTGACCCTCGGACTTAGCGGGACGCCTCCGGCTTGGGGCTGGTGGGGCCGCCGGCGCCTTCCCTCCTGTCCTTCCCTTTCATCTCCGGGAGTGGAGCGGGTCGGGGGATCGGCCAGCACGCTACCCGGGCCTGTGCAGCAGCGGGAGGGATGCTCGTCCCGGGACTTGGCGGAGCGCCTCCAGCTCGGGGCCAGTGGAGGGACACCGGTACCCTTAGCCCTCCGTTCCCTTTCCCCTCCCCGGGAGAGAATTGGGTCTGGGGTCCGCCCGGGGTCTCAGCGCGCGGCACCGGTCTCGTGCGGCAGCGGGAGGGATGCTCGACCCGGGCCATGGAACCGCCAGCGCCCTTACCCCACTCCACTCCTCCGGGAGAGGATTGGGTCTGGGTTCAGCTCGGAGTCAGTCAGCCGGCGGGCGGGTCTCAGCGCAGCGGGAAGGATGCTCTACCCGGAACTTGGCAGGGTGCTGCCGGCCCCCTCCCCGCGCTGCCCCTGCAGTGCAGCCGTGGGGACACGCCCTTGGCGCGGGGATTTCTGGTGTGGTCCCAGCGGCCGTCGCGAAAAGGGTGGGGGCAGCGGCTGGGTCCCTGCTGGCGAGCGCCCTCGCGCCCTTCCCAGTGCGGCTCTGGTCAAGGTAGGTGGGTCAGGGCAGGTGGGCGTCGAGAGCCTGCCCAGGGCCTGGCGGCCGGGAGGCGGACGTCACGTGGCCAGGGCATCGGGAACTTGCAGCCTGCGAACCGGACGGTGCGGACCCCATCAAGTATCAGGTTCCTGGCCACCGAGTGGCAGGCTGGCTGTGTCCCACTCTAATCAGAACCATCTCAGCGAGTGATCAGCCAGTTTGTTTCATTTTGCTCGAAAGGCCTTGGATCAGGGTCTTTATACTGTAAATCGGTAGTTGGCCTTCCTCAAAGCCCTAGGAAACGAAGATGAGGGCTTATCTCACTGTTTTGACTCCTATTGCCCCATAGAGTTTCCAAGGCTGCAATCTTTAGGGAAGCAGACTGCCACATCCTTCTCCCGCCATGCTGTTGGTGGGCTCCAACCGATGACCTTTGGTTAGCAGCCCAGTGCTTAAACCACTGCGCCACTGTACTCCCAAAGAGTTAGGCATCCCAGGTAATCACCAGGTTAAATACAGGACAAGCTTAATCTTCCCAACTCGGGCAGGCTTTCGGCTCTTCTGTGCTCCGTGTAGTAAAATACCCAAGAGTAGATTTTAGTAGGAAACTGGTAACTTTGTAAGTTCCTGAGTAAAATTAAAATCCGTTTAACCTTTTGAAAAGTGTATTTTGTTACACTATTTTCTTCCACAGGCCTGCCGGTTTCTGGTCATTCCAGATATTCAAGCAGGTTTATTTCCTTCTCAGCTATAAACCAAAAGAATAAAAAAATGGCTGAACCCCACCACTGGTCTTGTATTTCTGCCAGCAAGCATCACTCCCTGTCCCCCATTATTTAACTTGACTCCTGCGTAGTAGTTGGGTCGTTATGAATATGACATTGATGTGGCTGATAATTCATCTCGTGGCGGGCGGTAGGTGGCTAGTTCTAAGATGATCTTGGGAACGATGTGCCTTCGGATGGGTTCTGAATCTTTGGTATGAACTGAACTTAGCGTTCGGTGTTGGTGCTTCTGGTCGGTCTTTTTGCCTCTATACCAGTCTGGGCTCTTTTTCTCTTGTAAATTACTGGTTTCCTGCAATGAAGGATTGCTGGATTTGACACGGAACTCCATTTGGGGGGTTGTGTTTATTTAGCAAGCTTATATTGAGATATAATTCACAAACCATACAATTCACCCACTTAAAGTGCACGATCCAGCGTTTCTGGTATACTCACAGATGTGCTGAACTCCATTTTAACAGCTGTTTGAATGAAAAAGAAAGCAGGGCCAGCTTCAGGAGTCCGCATACTTTGTATCAAAATGGTGGAAGTTGGCACCAGGCAAGTTGACATCTGGCACAGGCCAGACTAACCTTTTGAATTTGTACTAAAAACAAGCCGCCTAACCTGAGAGGGGAAGGGAGTGAAATTAGCATCCCTTTGCGCGGCTGGTGCACTTGGCCCTGGCGACTGACCAGTGGTCACCCAGCGGTCAAGTGCCTGGGCCTTGGGGGAGAGTTCTGGGGCCAGAGCCTGGTATTGCTCAACTCTGTCCCCGTTTCTCCATTCATAAAAGCACCGCTAATTTTTACTTGGGAGCATGGTTTGAGCTTCGCAGTGGAACGCTCTGGGCCGTTCTTTTGGAGCATGGTGGGAGCGGTGCCAACGTTTATAGTTGGTTCCGTACAGTATCTGTCATCAGGAGCACAAAAATCTTAATTGCCCCAAAGTTAGGCATGGCAAAACTCGGCCTTGCCCCAGTGGAGAGCTGTTTTGCATTGTGCCCGCAGTCGCTGGGGTGCTTGCGAGCTTTCTGCAGAAGCATTTCTCCGGGCTCGGCCAGTGGAACAGGATCTGAGCGCCGGGACGCAGCAGCCGGGGGCGGGGCTCTGGCGGTAACCTTTCCCCTACTTTTCTCCGCCGTCACGTGGCGCGGGGGAGGTGCTGCGGAAGCTGCGGTTGCCAGTGGTGCTCTTCCAAGGACGGTACAGTCCCGCCCTGAAGGCGGCTGGAGGCGGAAACGGGGCGTACAAGCTCGGGGCTGCGTTTGCGCTTAGGTGCTTCACATTTTTTCTTTTGTTGGAAAAAATGTTTAGTCACTGTGCGCAGTTGTTACTGGCAGGCCAGGGTTTCTGGGCTAGTGTAAGCTGGAGCGTGAATTCCGCATGAATTGGTGCTTTAAAAAGAAAAGTATTCAAGACAGTCATTTTAAAGTGTGTCTAAGACATTCTGCCTTAGAAATCTGACTTGGAGGACAGCCAGAACGCTCCTTAGGAGCGAGGAGGGCGAGACTACGTCTCCCATACTTTGGACATGTTATCAGCAGGGACCAGTCCCTGGAGAAGGACATCATGCTTGGTAGAGTAGAAGGTCAGCGAAAAAGAGGAAGACCCTCAACAAGATGGACTGACACAGTGGCTGCACGTGTGGGTTCAAGCATAACAACGATTGTGAGGATGGCGCAGGACCAGGCAGTGTTTTGTTCTGCTGTACATGTGGTCGCTGTGAGTCGCAACCGACTCTATGGCTCCTAACAACAAGAAGACATTCTTTGGCTGATACTTTGAAGAGGGCCACTTCTGCTTTCTTAGAACGAATTATGTTCATCTTGAGTTGTTTTTTTTTTTTTCACTAAGATTAAAAAAAAAATAAAAGCATTGCTCTTGGTGCAAAATTCAAAAGGTGCAAATGGTTAAAGACAATGTTCTACATTCTACCTTGGTGAGTAGCGGCTGGGGTCTTAAGAGCCTGTGAGCAGCCATCTAAGATACTCCACTGGTCTCACCCCTTCGGAAGCAAGGGAGAATGAAGAGAACAGGATACAGGGAAAAGATTAGTCCAAAGGACTAATGGACCACAGCTGCCATGGCCTTCACCAGACTTGAGTCCAGTACAGCTAGACGGTGCCCGGCTACCACCAACTGCTTTGACCAGGATCACAATAGAGGGTTCTGGACAGAGCTGGAGAAGGATGTAGAACAAAATTCTAACACACACACAAAAAAGACCAGATTTGCTGGCCTGAAGGAGACTGGAGAAACCCCGAAAGTATGGCCCCCAGACACCCTTGTAGCTCAGTGCGGAAGTCACTTACGAAGGTTCACCGTTCAGCCAGGGATTGGACAGCCCCATAAAACAAAACGGGACTAATGAGGTACAGCAGTCCAGGGACAAGGACTAGAAGGCAGAAGGGGACAGGAAAGCTGGTGATAGGGAACCCAAGGTTAAGAAGGGACAGTGTTGACATGTTGTGGGGTTGTTAACCCTTGTCATAGGGCAATATGTGTACTGTTTAATGAGAAACTATTTTGTTCTGTAAACCTTCATCTAAAGTAAGAATAGCAGCACAACTGGAAGAATGTAATCGATGTCACTGAACTGTGCATGTAGAAATTTTTGAAATGGTGTATCTTTGGCTATGTATATTTTCACCAAAAAAAAAAAAAAAAAAACTTGAGAAGGGAGAGGGTTGACATGTGGTGGGTTTGTTGACCAATGTCATAAAACAATATGTGTACTGACTATTTAATGAGAAACTGTTTGTTCTGTAAACCTTCACCTAAAGTACAATTAAAAAAAAAAAAAATAGGAAAACATGCAAATGGGAACACAGTACAGTGTCGGCCACTATTAATAGTTTGTTTGATAGATGCCACCACTATCAGCAGTTCCTTTGATGATTCTAGAGGTAGTCTAGGTTGGAGAGGGTGTCTTAAAAGTCTATCATGTAACACAAGGGAGGAGTGTTATCTGCGTTTCGGTATCTAATATTTTGCTGCCTTTTGTAAACTTCATCTTTTACCCTGCGCAAATACCAGGTGGAGATCAGGTCCACGGCTGGCCCTGGGCCGTGGTCTGCTTTAACCTGTCTGGGTCACGTGATAGACGAGCTCAGTTGTGACGAATGCCCGTTCACCTTTGCCTTTCTTTTCTGTGGCTTGTTCTTACGCCCAGGAATGTTTGGGGAAGTTAATAATTGGAAGAAGTTGTGCAGCTGAGTAAGGTGTGTCTCTCTGGTGTGTGAAGGAGGATCATTGCTACCTTGAGGGTTGGGAAACAGGGTGGGTACTGCTTACAACCTTGGGGTTATCGACTGATCCGTGGACATGGTGATCTTTAGGCAAAAAGGAAAGGGATCATCCATACCCCCCGGGCTGGTCTGTGGTGCTGCAGGTCACCCTTCAACCCAGGAAGCTGAGCATGAGTCTAGCCTTCCCATCCCTGGTGGCACAGTAGTTAAGAGCTCAGGCTGCTAACCA